CCATTATCAGAAATTAATGGACTTCGCGGAAGCAACCGTCCTCCGCTTCGCGTCGGACGGTTCACGCCTCCGCGTCGTCCATTAATTTCTGATAATGGACACCTCGTCGGGCATTATCCCTTACTCAACATCTTGCACAGAACATACTATACACCTGTCAAGCTGCACACATTTAACAATACTATGTCACCTGTATGCCAGAAATGCAAGGTTACAAATGGAGACCTTTTGCATATGATGTGGCATTGTCCAATGATTGCAGAGTTTTGGAAATACATTGTTAAAACTACCTCAGATGTTACGCAATATAATATTCCACTAGATCCTACAGTTTGGATTCTGGGAGATTTGAATACATTGAAAATAAATAACTTTACCCGACATTTCATTTTACTTGCTAGTACCGCTGGAAAAATGTGTATTTTAGTCAACTGGAAATCTGCTCTCCCTCCCTCACAGAGGCACTGGATCAATGAATTAACATCATACTGTACTCCGGAGAAGATCCTCTATAATGTCAGAAAAAGGCCCACAACGTTTAGGAAGATATGGGGAGCCTTCATAGATGCTTTACCTCTTCTCAAATGTCATGGTTAACATTCACCAACTATATTACTCGCAACTGGACTTAATTTTATTTTATTGTTTTTTCATTCCTTTTCTTTTATATTTAAACATATGTGTACATTATTAATATAGCGGTTATTATGGGTTAATATCATTCTAAGAGCAAAGAATCACACTAACTATAGGGGGTTCAGGGGGGTGGGGGGTTGTTTGTCCTTCTATGTTGTCATTATTAGCATTTTAAGGGAAGACAGACAATGAATGGAATATCTCTTTGCCTTTGAATCTTTTATTTCTTTTTTCTTCTGTCTTCTCTACATTGTCATTTTATTTTAGTTTTATTTTTCCTTTATTTCTTTATTTTGTTCTATATTGATGAAAAATGTTAATTACAGAGCAGATGTACACTATCTGTATCCTCATTTCTATCAATAAATAAATCATTATATGAGTTTGTCCACTGCACTCCCATGAAAAGACTAAAGGAGCAGATACATGGAAGTTCTTTAGTGGCTGGCGTTTCTGCAGAGATCTGACTCAGTGTCTTTCATCCATCATGAAACCCTGGAAGCAGTGCAGCTGGAGGTTCTTCCACCAGAATCACAGCAGTGTGAAGGACAGTTTAAAGTGATCAGGCAATGATGCACTGGTCTTGGTGTTTCTGCTTTAGTTTTTTCATGTCTTCTTTATGCTTCTTCTGCAGGTCCTTCAGTTCTTGTGTGAGCCTTTCTTCTTTGTGGCTGGAGAGTTTGTGTAGAAGAGTGAACTCATCTTTGTGTTGCTCTTTCTCTTTCATTAATACCTGGTAGGTTTGTCTCAGATCCTTTAGCTCCTCATCATATTTTTCTATCAGAGTTTCAAAGTCTCTGGTGTATTTCTGTCTGAAGTCATTGACTTCTTCAGCTTGATTTCTGGCCTTGTCCTCGTATTTCTGTTTCATTTCCTCCATTTCTAACTTGTGTTGTCTCTCTAAAGCTCTCCTCTTTCTTTCCTCAGATTCCACTCTGATGCAGTCGTCTTTTATTTTTCTTCGATATGCATCTCTTTCCTGTTGAAATTCTTCTATGAGCTTCTGAATTCTCATTTGTTCCATCTCTTGTCTCTGTATATTTTCTTGTAACCGTTGTTCCCACCATCCTTCTCTCTCCATCTCCCAGGCTTCTCTCTGTCTTCGCAGTTCTTCTCTGTTGTATTTCAGCTCTCTGATGAGCTCGTCCGTTGACTCAGATTCTGATATTTGCTTCTCCAGAGCTTGAAGCTTTTGTTTCCACTCCTGTCGTTGAATTTGTTCCTGGTGTTTCCTCTTTCTGTCTTCCTCTTCTCTGGTTGTCTGTTCTCTCTCTCTCTTCTTCTGCTCATTGTTGATGTAGTCCTCCTTCTCCTTGAGTTGTTTTTCTCTCAGTTCTTTCTCTGATTCAATTCTGGATATCTCTGCTCTCATTTCTCTTTCTACTTTTTGCATTTCTTCCTCATGTTTTCTTTCCATCTCCTCCATCTTTCTCTTCATCTCCTCTTCCTTCTCCTTCAGCATCGTCTCCACTGACTGTCGTATCGCTGCTTCAGCCTCTTGGAACATCTCTGTAGTGTAGAAACTGCCTCCATTTTTCTTCACCATGGTCTCGATCTTGGTCCGCAGCTCTGTGACTTGTGTGCGGTTTGTTGGATCGTTGTTGTTGAAGACATGGTATCTTCCTCCACAGTCAGCGATCAGATGTTTTACAAAGTCACCACAGTCTTCGTCTATGTAACTTTCAATCGATCGACCTTTCAGATCATCTCCTCTTGTGAACGTAACAATGATGAAGTTTTTTGACTTCTGGCCGAAAATCTTCTTGATCATTTTCACCGCCTCTTTTTCCTCCTCTGTGAATCGGCCGATCTGCAGCACCAGTAGGAACACGTGAGGTCCAGGAGACAACATGGTGATGCAGTTCACCAGCTCCTCTTTAACCTCCTCAGCAGACAGAGTCGTGTCGAACAAACCGGGAGTGTCGACCACAGAGACAGACAAGCCATCGATCTGTCCTGCTGCTTTCTGGCAGCGTTTGGTCACCGATCTCTGACTGGCTTTGGATAAAAATAGTTCGTTGCCCAAAATGGTGTTTCCAGTCGAGCTCTTCCCGCTGCCAGTTTTTCCCATCAGCACCATCCTGAGAGTCTTTCTGCTCAGATTTTCATCATCAGCCAACGCCTTGCTGCGTTTTAGATAGTGCTGTTCTGCTTTAAGCTGTAAAACCTTCTTCATCTGAGCCTCAGTGAACATGTCCTTAGTGAAACATCTGGATCCTTCATCTGACATCTGGTCCACTTGATCCAGCAGCTCTGGGATCTGCTGCTTGTCCTTCATGTTGACAACAACAGATCTTCCTCCACAGCTCTGACAGAGCTCCTGGATGTCTCTGTTCTGTCTTATAAAGTCAACAACAGCTGGAGCTGTAGGATCTGACTCCACAGTGAACAGAATGAGGGAGAAGTCTGTGACTTTAGAGCTGAATGTGTTCTGGATGGTCTGTAACTCTGCCTTGTCTTCATCAGTGAGGGGACCCACAGGTAGGACCAGGATGAAGGCATGGACGCCCTCAGGATCACAGAGGGAGATACACCTGAAGGATTCCTCCATCACTGCCTCCTGAGGTTTTCCATACAAGGCAGGCAGCTCCAGCAGGGAAACCCGACGTCCACACACCTCTCCCTGGGCTTTAACACACTCTGATGAGTCGGCAGGTGGACCAGACCTTGTTGGTCCCAGAATAGCGTTGATTACTGAAGTCTTCCCAGCTCCTCTTCTACCACACAGGACCAGGTTCAGAGGAGGTTTGATGGGTTCAGACTTTGGTCTTCTTGTCTCTTCAGCGAAGGTGATGAAGGTTCCTTTGTTTTCTTGCACAATGTTCTCAATCTTCTTCATCAATGATCCAAAGTTATCTTCAGACATGTTGTAGCGTCTTCCTCCACAGTCTCTCAGGAGTTCATTAACGGGGGGTTTTATTTCACTGTCATGCGTCATGACGACCATGGAGTGTTTGAAGGCGTCTTCACCAAACAGACTCAGGATGAGCTTCAGAGTTTCTCTGTTGCCTTCAGTGAAATCTGAAGGTGTCACTAACAGCAGCAGAACATTTGGTCCAGGAGGACAGAGATCCACACATCTCTTCATCTCTTCTATAACTGTTTCCACAGACAGACTGAAGACGTCTGGAGTTTTCACTACTGTTAAAGGTTTCATGTTCCACGTTCCACGAGCAGCTTCACACCGTTTTCCTCCAGAGAGTTTTGGAACAGAAAACTCTGTCCTCCTTACGATGATGTTTCCCAGTGCTGCCTTTTTGTTGTCATTTTTTCCAAACAACACGATCCTGAGTCCATGTGCTGGAATAAAAACGTAAACAAATATGAATAAAAAAAACTGTATTCAGAGTGTTTTCATTACATTCCATCATATGTTAATTTATAGGAATCAGTGTTAAATCATTTTTTAAAGATCTGATAGAAAGTAGAAGTCAGGATCAGTGTTGACAGCTTGTGAGGTTCTACTCACACTGTGCAGCTGTTGTCAACTTGTCATCATCAGACACTGATAAATTAACTGTAATTACTGTTAGTTCACAAAGTTACCTCAGAGACCTTCAGACTGTTTAAATGCTCTCCCTTGTGTCCACTGGGGCGCCAACTTACTTTCAAATTCCCCTACAAACACTTTTGTCTTTTTTGTCAGCCACTTCAAATGATGAGATATTTATAGATATTTGATATGAGAATATAACTATATCTGTAAGACATGAGAATATACAGAATATAATTCTGCTGGTTAGATTTAATAGTGACAATCTGTTAAATAAGTCAATACAAATATGAACATTTAGGTCATTGACTGTCTTTGAAACATTTGCAACTTTTGCTCAAGAGAAAATGTAAAAGTAAGTTTTGGTGTGTTGTCTCCAGCTTTCATCTATACAGCTGCAACCAGTGATTTACAAAACAGTAAAAATATCAGCCTTGATTTACTTACAGCTGCATGAAGTTTTACTTTCTTTCATGGAAGTCAACCCTGTGAATATACAGACTGTTATAAGGTGTCACAGGGTGACAAGTGTAGTGTGTGTGTGTGTGTGTGTGTGTGTGTGTGTGTGTGCGTGCGTGTGCGCCTGTCTGCAACTAATTAACACACTTTCTCAGGATGCGCAGCACGTGTGTGTGATTAGGTCACAGGTATGGGTAGTTGGGGGCGCTGCTTTCCTCGTGCTCTTTAGGTGACGGCAGAGGGGCATGAAGCAGGGGAGAGAGCAGCTGAGCTGATGGCAGTGGACGCACGGGATAACCACTGTGGAGAAGCGCTGGTCAGACGGCTGTGACAGCACGAGGCACCTTGTCGTAAGTGCGGCGGACAGCGCGAGAGGAGCGACGCAGACAGAGGACGTGCGGACCGACCTGCCTGGACTGAAGGAGCTGCTGCTGGCCGGTGGAACAGGTCGCCACGTGGCAGAGAGGCAACGGAGACACACGGTGCAAGAGGGAAGCTTCGGGCAGAAGTGGAAGGGTGGGGATGCGTTCCACACTTCCTTCAGATAAGTTCCCCTCTACTTTACGCTATAACACATACTGGACATGATATTACCAGTTAACCTGCTGCGGCCAAATTGTTTTATTTATTTTTTTTATCCAATCAGTTAGGGAAGTTACAGCTTGGGTATCTCTGTCATCAGTTACTATATGGACAATTACAGTAATTTTTGGACTGGGTTTATTTGCCTTCATTTGCAGTGGATTTCATTTTTGATTGAGTCATTTATTTCAGTTCATCTTGCATTGGACTCTTTGCTGTGTTTGTTATATTTAGTTTACCTGCCCACAATTATTGTTTTTATTCATGGCTTG